GGTGCGCGCAGGAGTGCGAATTGTGCAGAAGGTCAACCTAAAGCTCGGAAAGGTCCTATAGGAATCCATTTTGGGTTTCCTCATGTCGGTTTCATCCTTCTAAGTGTTAGAAGTCGATACCGCACACGCGAAACCTCCAAAAGAGGACGGAAATAGGTCGAACTAAAACGAGGCGGGCACCACTTCTAAGGTTCTAAGATAGTCGCAGGAAGACCCCTAAGGCTAGATCCTAACTCCTACGAGGAATACTAGACCTCACGAGAATTGAGGTCAACAATAACCCAATTAAATAAAAAATTAATTCTCTCCAGTTATTTTCTTTAAGTCAAGAACATTTAAAATAGTTAGAAGACAAGGTTACATGATTATTTTTAAGGGGCATTTACATAAATACCACCCAGTTCCTATGCATATTTACATATCTAACTACTAGATTTTACTTCTTATATTTATGCCACCAAAATTATTCATATTAAATCAAATATACCAGTATTTTAATTTTTAAAAAGTGAAATACACCTTTCATTCATAGGTAAGGTGGCATATATGTAAAAAATGAATCTTTCTAAATTCCCATAAAAACAACAAGCACGGCCCAATAAGTCCCAATTCAATCAGAAGAATTTAGGAAACATTCCAAGATAGATTATAAGAGAGTGCCAAAAAAATCGTCTGCGATAGATTAATATTTTCCTTTGCACTACTCCATATTGGTACTCATATAGTATCAACACAAAGCAATAAAAAGAAACAGCTAGAACAAAAAAAGCTCTTGGGCTTATTTTATATACAACACATCTTGATGAAATCCCTTCCGAATATACATATACATATACATATACGCACGTGTGTCATTATCTAGTTATAATGTTTTGCTTATATACATGCATACATACATATAAACAAGAACAAGTACTAATAATTTCAGAATAAAACTGAAAAATACACAAGATGTGTTAGAGAGAACATGATAACCAAGATACGGAATTCTTAGGAAAGTGAATAATACACTCACTTAAATCATGTTGCTTGAAGCCAGGTGAAGACAAGGCAGTGCAATAGATTTTATTTTTTTTCCTCCAAATTCCTATTTCATTTGGTAAATAGAATTTTAAACTCCTATTCACCAAAAAGTCAACAACAAGTATTTTCCTCTCAGTCATAAAATAGATGAGTATCCCAATTGGAAGGAAGCAGGTAGTTGTAGTAACAGTTGGATTGATTAATGATGATGATTGTAGGAGTAGAAATAACCACCACATAGGTGTTAGCAAGTGTAGGCATATGAGTGTCTAATTCCATATGAAAATTTAAAGCTGAATTGGTTCCAAGTTATGATAGTGGAAGTGATCTAACTTGCCTCTTAAGTGATCGACGGTCAAATCTAATCATTTAATTGTATCTCTTAAACTTGATAACAAGCTTACTTCAATTCAATATTAAAAACATGTAGAAAAATTATGATAAAAACTTCAACAAAGTAAACAATATGTCAGGATGCCTTCAAATTCAACCATCTGCCAATATCCATTACACCTCCCCCTCTAACTATCCATATGCAAAAATTTGCCAAATATAGCACCCAGAGAATATACAGTGGAATGGTTGAAATTAAGTAAATGCAATCAAAGAATGCAAAACAAATTACAGTGACTGGAGATTCCTCAAAAAAGTCAAAATGGACAACCATTTTAGCATACGTCGCGGAAAAACAAGTTTGGTATAGTATGTTTCTAAAAATAGTTTCATAATCATGTGATAAGGGTCCATGGATTGTGGCCTACTCCACCTCAGAATCAGCTTGACAATTGAACCAAACCAGAAGGATAGTGGTTTAAATAACATTTTTTTTTAATATATTCAAGTTGAAAAGTGCTCAAATCTTTAAAAGATTATATTTTCAAGCAATACTCCGACCAAAATCTCATAGGGACAATAAATGGCAATGCAACTTGAATACAAATACATGTAAATGCATTGATAGTTTTGGTTTCACTTAATTTTTTCTTATTTTCATCCCCCCATTTTCTTGGCATATAAATATACTTCGATATTTTGGTGGATACATGGTGTATAAAGGCAATGGTTTATATTTGATTTAAAATTCTTAAGTTTTAACATACACGAATATATTTATCGTTAAGTGCAGGTGGTTTATGCCTATCAATTTAGTCCTGAATTCTCTAGTAGGTTCTGCGCTTGGATGGATCCTTATCCAAATTACGAAAGCTCCTAAGCGATTGAGAGCTGTCATTTTGGCATCTTGCTCAGCTGGTAAATATAGCATAAAGTAATAATAAGTGCAAACATCATACTGCTATGGTTGTTGAACAGTAACTGTATATTTCTAATTATAAGTTAGTTTTGCATCTCATTAACATTTACTCTTCTAGAGCAACTTAATCAGTAAACGACCAAGTAAAAGCTGGAAATGCCATGCAGTAGGATTATGCCCTAGTATATGACAGCATTCGTTGGTAATCTTACGTGTGGCCTTCAAGAACTTGCTAGCGCCATTTATATCAAGAATGGACGTTCTCATAATTGTTTTTTTCAAATAAAACAAAAGGAAAGGAAAAAAATGAAAGGATAACGAGCTAAAGATGTTCTACTTCCAATCAGAGCTCAGCTGTCAAATATACCCTTTTAATTTAGGGACCCATAAAAACGAGAGAATATTACATAGTTTTTACCATAAAAACAAAGAAACATTGTGCTTTAAATAGATTTTAGATGGGCTGTATGCACAAACTACAAAATTGAAATAATGCCTAAATTCATGTAATGTTAAATCGCCTTTCATATAATGCCTCCTTATGACAACTCACATTTTCTTTCTTGCCTGGGGCATCATATCCCTTTCTAGTTGTAAAATTCACATAAATGTTACTCGTTTCCTATAAATAATTTGCACTATTTCTTGGATATCGATTTTAGAATTTCAAGTTAACAAAATCTTCATATTAGGAAATGTTGGAAATTTATTTCTTGTCTTAGTCCCAACAATGTGCAAGGAGAAGTCAAGCCCCCTGCATAATCCAGGTGTTTGTGAAACATATGCAATGGCATATGCTTCTCTTTCTATGGCGGTATGATAATTTAAATTATGAAGCACTAACATATGCATTAATTCATAATTTCATCTGATTTATTTATATAAATTATGCAGATTGGCACAGTTTTGCAATGGTCGTATGTCTATAATATTGTAAGAACATCATCAAGCTATAAAGAAGACAAAGAAAATAATTATATTATAGATGTGAACCATCCCGATAGTAGTGGAAGGCTTTCCATGAAAATTTATACGAGCGATGTTGCATCTACAGATGAGGGAATGGTACTTAGTTGCTCATCATTTGAAGATACACCAGTTCTTAAAGGGTATGATTCATCTATGAATAAGACGAAGGTAGAGTTCTACTTCTTTTGACTCTAGTTTAACATTTTAGTTATCTGTTTTATCAATAGCCAGAAGAAAAAAACACAAAAAATATGTTTTTGATTGGTTTAGTTTAAATTGATATTACTCAGTTTGGCTTGTTTTAATTTTGTTCAACTTACTGTGTTATAGTACTCTTTTTTTTTTCATAACGGTCTATAATTGAAGGAAAATATGCATAAAACTAACTTTGTATTTGAAATGAGAACAATCATTTTTTTGTCTTTCATCAAAAATATTTTATTTGCATTCAGTTCTTGGTCACTATTTATTTACTGATTATCCATTGCACTGTTATTTTCTGATACCTAGAAAAATCATCCTAAAACTAAAGAAATTTGTTGCCTACATTAGTTTAGTCAACAGCATTATTTAGTTCGAACTTCCAGATCAAAATTCTGTGGATAAAAAAATTAGTTTTTTCTTATAGACCATAGCAAGAAGATTGAAGTAATTCTTAAAGCAATTGGTATTATATACTCAACATAAATTTCCTCTAAAATTAAAACAAACAAATTTCTATCACAGTTGAAACTCGTGAACAAAAAGAGTAAAGGTCGGTGAATTACAAATTCCATCCACTTTGAATATATTGTTATTCTGATGCTATAGCACTACCACACTTCAATTTTGTGCCCACAGATGCACCCCTTTTTTGTGTCTCTTATTTTTTTAAGATAATCAATAAATGAAAAGTGCCAAAATAGTCCCCTGACTATTTACATGGTGCCATTTTAGTATTATAGTCTATAAAAGTGTCAAATTAGGCCCCATATATTTTTTTTAATATGGGTTAAAATACTCACAAGGCAGATTTATTTTAGCCCACTAAATTAACCCTTCTATAAAGTCTGGGATTGAAATGGCCTCTTCAAAGAATCAATGGACCATTTTAACACTTTTCTACCCAGTAAATTATTAAAAAAATTTCTGTATTCAAGGACAAAGCTGGTCCGGCTTTTCCTAGCAAATTCTGGTACCTAAGAGATTACATTTTGGAACAACGTACGTTATGCAGTTATAGATATTTTAGCGTGTAAGAAACAGCACAAGACATACGATTGAGACTTGGGTTGAAGGAAATGTACTATCAATTTCTACATTACATAAGACTTACTAGAAACTTCTTGGTAAGAGTAGCCATTCACCAATAATTACCACAAAATGCAACATATTGACTAAGAACGTATCATTCTGAAAATACATAATATAGATGCAACCCAAATTTATCTAAAATGAGCATAATTTGAAAAATGCATCATGTAGCATTTGCTTGCATTAACACAGATATTGGTTTTGCATTGAATGTAATTGTAAATATTTTGCCACCTAATATTGTAATTGAGAAACATAGTAGACAATTTCAATATTTAGTTGTGATAACATTAAGTTCCCAAGTTAGTGACTCTCTTTTCTTTTCAAACAAAGTAGGCACTGTTGTTTTTTCTTCAGTAATAATGCAACTTGATCTATGCATGCTTAATATGTTGTTAAGCCTTTAAAGGTGTATAACTATTAAATTTCTAAAAATCATATCGTGCTTCCAGTCAGGATAAGACTAATGATGATAATGATCAATACATTTACCTGGTATTAGTGATGATGTATGCACGCATGCCTGAAAATTTTCGATGTGGGTGAATATGCTTTTTCATGTAGAAGTTGTTATGAGATTGAACAAAAAATAACAAATTTTCTATGTTCTTTTTAGATTGTTGTATCAAGTAAGGTAAACGGCATGCTACAAAAACTTTCACGAGCCATTGACACAAAGAAGTTATTTGCTCCTTCAACTATTGGTGTGGTATGCTTCTTACTTCATCCATGTTTATCTTCTTTGTTATAGAAAGTAATAAATCTATATTCTTAATCTCGAGAACATTAAATCACATCCGTATATAAAAAAATTATCATAAAAAGTACTTGAAATTAATAGAAGTTTTTAAGATAAATATGGGATATGCTTTAGTTCAATTAAAAGAAATGATCATAATGAGCACCCTAGTTGTTTAGACGGATTGAACATGGATAAGCCCCACCTCTATTAACTTGGGTCGATTCAAAGCAAAAGATTATGTCAAAGTATGCTTAATTCTAAAGTCTTTTGATGGATGTCGTCCTAATTCAAATTGAGCTCGAACCAACTCCTATGATACTAAGCCGGCCAATCAAACAAAAAGCTCATTTGTCTTAAGACTCGTTTCTTTCAACTAAGAAACGGTCCGTTTATCCAAAATTTATGGGAGCTAACAGACCATAATTTATATAGCAATGAGAGGATTCAAAGGAAAATTTTCAACAATATAAAGCTTTCATGAAATTCAGAGGCAAGAGAGTCAAGGCCCATCCTTGGACCAACCATAGTGTCTGGTATACAAGGAAGAATGTCACTCATCTCATAATGAACTGAGGTCACCAACCTTGACATGATCTTGAAGTCAAATAAATCTAATTTTATTTTGTTCATCACCCATTCTGATTATATAATATCCCACTCAAGCACGCCTTCAAATATACACGAATCTACCACATGAATCAACCAATAGAGTTTTCCCGGCATGAATTCATTGTCATTCTCATAAATTTAACTCTCGGATCAACCTAATTTGTTATCAAACCCACTCCTTCAAATAACTTAATGTAAACTATAATGGCTTAAGAATAGATTATGCATGTAACAACGCATTCAATAAAACACAATGTATGCCTTAAATCAAATTCAATTATCAAATTAACACCTCAAAATCAATTGAGTTGGAAAAAAAAGGAGTAATTCACGCCAAACCTGATCCACAAGATCGGTTGCTGCAAGACATTACGTAAGTTTGGATCGTCGGCGTCCCACCGCCGCTCCCTCCGATATTAGCGATGCAAGAATGACAAGAAAACTCTGGGAAAATGGAGAAGGGAGATGAGCACACACACACACATACATTGAGTGAGTGAGAGAGAGAACAGTAATTGGTCAGTGGAGATTGCAAAGCAACCCTTAACCGCCGTCCCCAACCACTGAAACAGTGAACGAGAAAACAAAGTATGCCCCCATCGAAAAAATATTACCTAGTAGCACTGTGCATCAGGGGTGTCATGTAGGCACCATGATGGGACCATTGCCTACGTGGCACCCCCTCATTGGAGTACTGATGCATCAGTACTCCTGAGGTAATAATTTTTCGCCGCCATCTGTGCTGAGGTTATTTCAGGTTTATTCAAGTAAAACTGTCGATATTATTTATTTTAGTATTATTTTGAGGTTATTTTGGGGTTTTTTGAAGATGAGCTCGTAACTCATAAATAATCTTGAAATAATCTTTGTCTCTGTTGTTTCATCTCAATAACCCGGAAATCAGAGGTTATTTCTTAACTATTTCAGGACTATTGAAGTGAAATATATATGTTCCTCTTCAATAACCTAAAAATAACCAAGAAATAATCACCAAAATAACTTCTGTTGTGTTATTTCAAGATTATTGAAGTGGAATCGCAGATGTTATTTCGGGATTATTTCAGGATTATTGTGAAATCTGCAGTTCCACTTTAATTTTTTTTTTTATGTGGGCTGATGTAGCACACATGACGATATATTAGTGGAAGTCCACACATATAGTTATGTCCGGAGTCCGGATAGAAAAATTTTTTGCAGAGTTAGGGCTCTTAACTATCCAATTTCGAGGCGGCTCTAAATTGGCTCGAATGGATTTTGTGCGGCGTGAAATGGGCTAGTAGCTCCTTTTATTTTATTTTGAGTTCATTGTGCTCAAAATTGAATCAAGTTCTATCCAACTTGAAAACCAAATGAGCTAAGCTCAAATTGAGTTATTTGGATTTTTTTTCAGCTCGATTTGACTCAAAATTGAAATTAACTTGCTCAAATTGAGGTATTTGGACCTGTCTCAACTCAAAATCTGCTCGCAAGTCGCAATTGGCTCGTGATTCATTATGTTCAATTTTACTTTGCATTATATAAATATATATATACTTTTATAAATAAAAAAGTTCACGAGACAATCTCGAGTCATTTTGAGCTAAATTTTGAATTGATTTTCGAGCGATAAACGATCTTCGAGCTAAATTCACAACCCTACCTGGATTACGACAGCGACACTAGTCACTTAAGAGAAAAAATAACAAGTTCAAACATTGACATTAATGGCAAAGATGGATATTAAGCAATGATGGCTAATAAGTGTCGGCACACACATTATGGTTGGCACCATCCCTTTTGACAATGACAAGTGTAGGCATTTTTAACATGGCAAGTTTTAATATTATTTGTAATGATAGGATCTTAGTGTTGACCTTTCTAGAGGAATATCTAAGTCATGGACTTAAATATATAATACTTCATCAAATGGTTATATTGAGTCCATTTATTATATCATAACAAAATATTTTTAAGTAATAAAGTCTCTTAATAACATACGATTTTATAATCTTGTGCTTATTAGATTCAAATGATGGGAATCAACCCTATCATGTTGACTTAAATATATAATACTTCATCAAAATGTACATTTTTTCACAAGACTTTTGATGCAATGACGGGGACCAACCTTACTTATGGTGGAGTATAATAATGATAATAATGTTGATGATGTAACTTGTTACTGGTATTCGACCTTAAAATTAATGTTAAAAGTAAGTAGCAAGCTTTATTAATGATGACATGTATTGATATTAGCACTGATAGTGTGCGTCGATCTTATTGCCGATAGTGAGCATCAATGTTGATATTAATAGTAAGCATCATATTTATTAGTGATGGATTTTGTTAATGTTGACTTAATAATATATATATAAGCTTTATCCATTATGGCAAGTGTTAGGGAAAACTTTGATGCAGGTGCGGCTTTGTTGATAACATGCATCAATTTTTTTTTAAATGACTTAACATCAATATTGATGTCAATAATATGCATTCACCTTATTAATAATTGCATGTTAGCGTAGATAAAAACAACATGAATCAATCTTATTGACAATTTTGTAATTCATTGTTGGTGTCAACCACAAACATTAAAATTGACGATGTCACTTGACTTTATTGGAAGAGTGGGCGTAACAACACTCCCCTCCCAAAGAAGCGTCCTGTCCTCAAAGTGGAATGCTGTAAACTGGTTCTGGATCACATCATACGACTCCCTCATTGTTTTATAATCAGATGGATCTTTCCACCTAATCAGTATCTCTTTTGCTTCCGCCCCTCCTCGACGCACCCCTTCAATCTCCAATGGTTGAACCACCTCCATGTCCTCTGTTAGTGGTGTCGATCATTGAGCATAATTCTTAGATTCAATGAATATACAAGTTTTTTCTAACTTCAATTTATGGTTTCCTATGTGTAAAATGGAGATCTATTTATGTATTTTTAAAATGAAATTTTATTTCTGTTAGTTAAAATTCTTAACCCCTCTATCACAAGATTCATAAGTTCCCCACAATCATAGACTATTTTTTGATTTAGAAGATTCCTAATGATATTGGGAGCAATTTTGAGCTAGTTGGATTTTTCTCATTAAGATTCTTAATTTAACTAAAACAATATAATATTCAAACACGGCTCATGATCCCTCAAATAACATCTTTATGTTTAAGTTTATGCATATGAATGCTTGATTTAAGTTCATTTGGACTTTTATTAAGTCACATTTAGAGGCGTTGGATTCATCTCATTACAAATTTATTTTGATTATAAATTTGCTAAAAAATTATTTTGATGATTCCTAACAATTAATTATGAGTGTTTTAGATGTGCAACATTTGCATCAAGGTTTTTGTTTGATTGTTGAGTTTCTTAGTGACATATAAGCATCAATAGTGAGTGTTATAATTAACTTGATCGGCAAGCACCAACTTGTTGGCAATGATAACTGTGATGTTACAAGCACTGATGGGCATCAACATTGCTAGAAAGAAAGGGTGTAGGTCTTGATGGTTATGTCTAGTGTCATCCTTAGTGGTGACAAGCAACGTTGGTTTATTGTCACTGACTCGCCGTTAAAATCTTTTTCAAGATTGTATTTAAGCCTCTTCAAAAATGTGAATATAGTGCTTATTTATATGGATTTGGAGTGTGAAATTTTTTTTATTGCTATTATAAAGCAAAACGCTTCATTGGATAGCTTGTGTTGACCTCATTAGTCATATAATGTTTTTTTATCATTTAAGTTGCCCAATAATGTTAGACTTGGATGATATTTGGATCTTTCGATTAAATGTTTTTTTATCATTTAAGTTGCCCAATAATGTTAAACTTGGATGATATTTGGTTCTTTCGATTAATCTTATCAATCTTTTTCTTATGACAAGTTTATTTAAAATTGAATTTAAGATCCGTGATTAACTGAATTGATTACACACACATATAATGCAAGGGGAAGTGATGAATTATCATTATTCCATCAAAGACTTTGATACATCATCAATAAATTTTCATCATTCTACATGAATCTCAAGGCATTTTCCGAGCAAGAAACATTCAAAATAGATTTAACATCATTCAAGTCTCCGATTTTAGAAAATTATAGTCAAATTGACCAGTTCTATGAGATAAACCCTATGACACCAAAATTAATATAATATGAGTCAAATCAAACATGAATCAAGCCAATAAGCCACTATTGGAAGCTTTTAGTGGTTAATTTAGGGGTCAAATGGTTTCTAAGTTTGACAATCTTATAGTCAAGTCGAGTGTTTCAATCATGAGACGAATCCAACGACCTAAGGATTACTCAATTCCAATATTATTAAGGCAATTAATTTTTTACAATATGTCGTTAAATCATGAAAGGAATCAGCTATGTG